TTCCCAGAGTTAGATAATAGCAGTCAATTTAAACCAGAGAGAGAGAGAAAAAAGAGATATATTCTTTTAGCTAAGATTTGAAATGAGGATATAATGGAAATTTGACATCATGTTGTGGATGACTGCATGGAGGTATGTATTTTGCCTGCTCCTGCAGATTTTTCAGGAGAGGTAAACATAGGCTATTGTACAATATAACACTGAAAGCTGCAACCACTCAGAAAGCATAGATAGCTAAGCATGGATGCAGCTCAGTGTGTTTTATGCTTTAAAAAAACCTTTTATTAGAATTTAGAACAAAAATAATATATACCTAGGCTGCCTAGAGTTTGCAAGGCATATAGACTACTAGGTTGCTGTCTTTTCTCCATTTCAGTATTGACAAATCCAAAAAAAAACTAGTGAGTCAGGTCCTTAATATTAAGAGATTCTTTAAAAATAATGATGTTATGTGATTTTTTTTTATTGCCCTTCTCATATTTTAGCTATTTGAATGTTTGCTTCATGTTTCAAGCATCAGAAATTTTTTTTTTTTGGAAAAAAGAATGAAGAAAAGAATGCTTGAACAAAATTTAACAGCTAGATTTTTAAAAATTATGTATGTCAAGCAATTTGTAATCATATAATGGCATTAAGCAACTATAGTAAAGTCATTGAACACTATTGTAATAAAAATGAATACCGTGTAAGCATAGATAATAGAAGACAGTCTTCCTCAATGACCTGTTATTCCTGCCTTGGTTCCCTGCTATTCCCAATCTCCAGAGCTATAAAAAAATTATGCTTCAATTAGCCTTTTGAAAGGAAAACAGCAGTCACTTCTTCATAGACATAAGTGAAGATATAACCCTACTGTGGAGTCCATTTTGCTTTTTGTACCTTACCGCGGGAAGTCGGAGTTTGCAGAGTTCCTTTGTGCTTGGGTAATGTGCAACTTTTCTGACCTTTTCTGTAGTGATTCAATAAAATTGCACTGTGAACCTAAGAGCTGTGAAAGTGACACAATATCAAGGTTTTAAGAATTGCAATGTGTGGGGATCAGGTTCACCACTTATCTTGAAATTTTTCTGTCTTCAGATTACACAGCAGACAACAGTATAATGAGAATTTACTTAAACCATCTAATCTAGCTAGCACTGTTACTAGGTTCTGTATACAGAAATAAAAGGAACCTTACACTTAAAGCTACCTACTGTATAGGTCAACTGTTGGAGTTTTCTATCTGTTGATACTGCTCAGCCAAAAAGCTGCTGTGATGTGTACACAGAACTGGGACCTGGTTCATGAACTAAATTAACTCCCTGGCATAGCTGTTCACAGAAAGTATGTTAATTTGAAGATATCTGTAATTTTATGTCCTTGTGCTTTTCTAGAATTCTTATTTGGATTTAACTACTCCCACTCAACAGGATTTTCTATGCACCATAGCTCAGTCTTCATCTTTTCCTGCTAAGTAACACCTAATACCACCAAACTTTGAAAAACCTAATGATTGTTGTACAGGGAAAGAGTAATCTTTTCTACAGAAGATGTACACAATCTATTGACATATACATATACATATAGCAAGGCCTGAGGTTGGCACTAAAGGTATAGACATCTATGAGGGGTTTTGGAGGTTTAAGAGGCTGAGGAAACAGAACTCTTGAAGTACTTTGCTGTAATTTTTTCTTCTTTTTTTTT